TTACGACTTGCATTTATAGGTTTATAAATATCTTGTATCGACATATCAGTCGCAGCCTTGATTTAGATTTATGATGAGGAAACTTTTTTTCTTTGCTTCATTGCTTATTACAAAAAGATCTTAATTAAACTTATTTTGAAAAGACATGGAGCCACCTTCTCCCATTAATGCAGCAGAACTGTAATCACTGCCAAGTCATTTGAGCTACCCTTGAAATACCTGGGTGAGGCAAGCAGCGATAAATCACTGACTGAATAAGCAGTTAGTCATGTAAGCGGCTGATCACTGAACCACCTTGAACACATGTAGCCAAGAAGAGAGAACCTGAGACATCAGAAGCATCACAGATGGCTGTCAAGATATCTATAATAAATAACCACATCAACTGCAGTGGTGGTATTGGGTTGGGCAACTTGATTACACGCAAGCATACACGCTTTATTGCTCAAAGATAGTTTTGGTTAAACAACTATGTGTGGTTGGCAGATTTAGACTAAATGATGGTTGAGAAGTCCATCATTATGCTTAAGTGGCCGTTTCTAGTGTGGCATTATGAATAATTAATAGGACAATGCTTGGCTATATCAACATTTCCATTACCATTTTCTAAATGCCACTCACTTCCATAAAAGACAATGTGCAGTAAACATTTTTGCTGAATGGAGACGCTAAGTCTGAGTGCTATGAAGTTTCAGTTTGAAGCTGCACTGCCTTATAATTGATTTTCCTTGCTTTAATCGTCTATTTGATTCTATAAAAACAAGACATGCAATGGGTAGGTACTTACATGGATGAATGTACGGTAGCATATAAAGGAAAGTCATTATTTTTACCACAATGCAAGCTTTCGTAAAATATGACATAGAATGTACAAAATTGTTTATAATCGGGAAAAGGTGAAAAGTTGGAAAGTCAATGTTTCTTCATGGCAAAGTTACCAAAATAACTAACAATTCGGTTATTGCTTGTAACAAATACACAATGAGTTTTAATATAGCTTTGCTCCTCATCAGCAGAACATGGGTTCCTCTCTTTTTAATTAAAAAGGTTGAATGTGACTTAAAATACAAACTCGGTCTAACCTTAACAGATAAAAGGCTACTACTACCGTTTTCCAGATAGCACAAATCAAGCTCATCTTAATAATTCTGCAATGATTTTAAAACTCACAAAATCACACTTTGCGAGCTGAACAGTTACTGAGCCTGACTGAATGATATGATACAATATAATGATTCCCAAGGAGAAACTTGTCTTGGATTTGCAGCACTGCTGGTCCACCATAATTAACACCATATTGTTATTTTCCTTTTAACAGGGTGATATCACAAAGACAGTTTGTTTCCCTCTGCGACTCAAGCTGTGAAACAAGTGTTATTTACCAAGCAATGAAAATATCCTCTTTCTTCAAAAGGATCTGAGGTGAGACCTAAAGTGGGAAGAAATGTATCCGTTGGCTCATTATTTTTCCTGCCACTGGACACCCACTTACAACATGGTAACAATTAAATGGTGAAGACAGAGTTTAAAATAAGTACACACTTAAAGTCCTTATTACTCAGTTCTGCAACATTTTCTATTGTTATCCATAGGCCCAGCATGTCCAAAAAAGTCATTACTTTGCCAAAGTAAAGACACAGTGGTGATATATTTAAAATAACAAGGGTTCGAAATATTCCAAGTAAGGTTTGGTAGGGTGTGTGCAGATTTTGGGTGGAGTATCACATTAAGTTCCCTATTCAGCAACCATCAAATTTAGAGATCTGCAAAAGTGGTATTTTGCAACAGTGCACATAGTATTTCCGTGGAAACGTCTCCACATGCGAGTTTCGATGTGCCATTAGCTTGTACCCACTCACTACCAACATAGTCCTACACACCCCCACCACTAAATATGTTCACACCTTGACTGAAGCCAGGTTAATGTTCACTGTTATTAAAGCTGTTACAATGAGAATGTGGTTGGTGTTGTCCCGACCACATCCTCCCATCTTTTTTCTAGAGAAGCAGTTCAACAAGAACTGAGGGCTCTGACTGACAGTGTGAAACACGCTGCCTTGTTAACACTGGTCCACCCCTTCACATCCCCCTTCTCAGTGCAACATTCAATCACTCATAGCTGTCAAAAGTATAAACAACTGCCTTGAACAACATATTGGCATGCAGACAAGGGCAAGGCTTGCTGCATACTTAATTTCCCTGATAGCCTCAGAAAGGAATTTCTGAGTTACATTACAAAATAAGTGATAATGGCATCCTATGTTTACCTTCTCCATCTATTAAATAATTTACCAATTTGGGATAGATAAAGTATCTATCCATCTATCTATCTATCTATCTAAAGCGACATTTACTTATCATGTATCTTACATTTTTAACATCACTTTTCAACGTGTCCACATTATTAATACAGTGTTTATGTAACATGGAACAAACATCAGTGAATTAGAAATCAACATCAAGTCAGTCTTTTCCAAATATGATCTCTAACATTTTGGTTTGTTAGTGTTTATGTAGCATAGCAACTTTATTAAATAAGATTGTTTTCTGTCTTGACTAAGAATTGCCCTTCCTGCATCAAACCAAACCTTGGTAACAGTCAATGTTCTCTTAGCGTTAACTTAACATGACATTAATTTATGGCTTCAACCAATCGGAAGTCTCTGCTGTGACTCACTTGCTGTTTATCCGTCCGTGTGCTGTGTTGCTAAAGAAACGCCAGAAAATCTTTTAAAGCTGACTTGTGCACTTCACTTTTTTCTAATGTCCTGTCATAAAGGCTTTGATTGTCATGTGATATGGCACTTATTAAATTGAAATCATTGGCCATTTTAAAATGAGTTCTTGCCTGCATGGATACCCTGGCACTAGACAACCATGATAAACAATGAAAGGGTTTTCATGTTTTATAAAGAAGCCTTTCGTTGTCTCCTCTTTCAAAAAAGGTTTTGAGGGGAATCCGAAATGTCCTCAAAAAGGAGAGAAAAATCTAAATTTCTTATTCAAATAAGCTTCCTCACATTTCCACAGTCTATAGCTCACATAAGTGGACACATCATTGAAACAAATCACACTCAAATGAGCTGGGAACTGAGACAGCTTCTTGTGTAGTGAGAGATTACTTGGAACGTTACAAGGCAGAAATGTCAATATAAGCCCATCAATCTCCAGGCAGAGGGCACGTCTAAGTTCAGCACCTACAATGTGCCAAGAATGTGTTGCCAGTAATACCTGCTGACAATACGGTGCACAGCTGAACCCCGTCCACTGCCAGAGACTGTACCCAAAGCTGGGAAATCTCTCCAAAGCATCAAATCAAAGACCTAATAATGATATTGATTTGCACATGGTAAAAGATTTAGGCCACCAAATTCACTTAAACACACCAGACTATGCTATTTGAAAAGTGCTATTCAAGAAATTCCTTACGCAACTCATGCATTTTAATGTAGCTGGCCCTAGAGGGAATAAAATCCCTGAGCCTGACTACTAATTTACTGACCTCTAAAAGCCAAATGCAAACAACATCAAAACAAGAGGCGTCCATTTCTGACATCTCTGTCAGGATAGGATTTCCACACTACGGTAATGTTCTGTGGGGATAGACTGCAGTTATTGTGAAGATAATTTAATAATGTAAAACATAATGAATCCTTTGTTTAGTCAAACAAAGCAACTTCCCTTCACCTTTTTCAAACGTGTTCCTTTACAATTATATGGCTGACATTATGACAGCTACAGCAGTAGAGGCTGTGAACGTATAGTACAGTGTTGCTGACATTAGCTACAGTCAATGTTTCAAAGGCTTTCAACATACAGTAGATTGATGCAATGCGAGGAAGTGTCCTCATCTTTGTAAACCCTTAAGCAATACTACCAACGTTCACACCAGTGAGACGGGCAAAGTAAAGTGCAAAGCTTTAGACTGGAGTTAGACTAATCCAAATAGACTAAAAATGTGAATCTGTTAAAAGGTGTGTTGGTTTTTTGCACATCCCTCTGAAACGTGTGCATTTCAGCAGTTATGAAGAGCACCAAGAATCAGCACCTGGAGCAGGTTAAGCCTAGAGTGGCTGTCAGGGATATTCTTTCATTTCCTAAGTTTCCTTCATAGTCATTTTAGATATGTTGTTATGTTACTAATTATTGTATTTATATCATGCTAACAGTATGCAACACTCTAACCATGTTTAGGCAGAACCTATCAATAAATCTGTGCAAGTGTTAAGTCAACATACAGAACATAATATTGTATTACCATTAGTCAGTATCAGTATCATGCTACATTATTTGCTGCAGTACTGTACAGGCTGAACTGTATATACATACTACATACATACATATTATATAGTATATATATTGCAAATGTTATTGCATGGTATGCACTGTCTTTGCTGTTGAGCTCTCTTTGAAAACACTATTCATTAATCTCAGTCACCTTGAATACATGTGCAATCTTTATTTTATAATGTTCTAATATCTGTGAAACATGTCTGTTTTAGCGTCTGCATTGTTAAAATAATGGCCATTTAAACCACATGCTTCTTGTTGTATGAGTTGAGCATTTACAATTGTTTCTGACATACATTTCACTGCATTACTTCTCTGCTGTAGCAAATGTTTCCCTTCTGGAAACAATAAAGAGAATCCCATCTTATGTTGTCTTTACAGGCATGTAGACAAAGCTACATTACTGGCATTCAAAATCATATACTGTAAGGAGAAGTTCTGCTATACTTCTGTGCAATATATTAAGACAAAGTACAGGATGTGCTTCTGGTGTTCACATGACCGGCCTCTATTGTGAAAACCACCTATTTAACTGAAATGTAACGTGTAACCATGTAATAGGCGAGGTTAATAACAAGCAGCAAAAGAAGCTACAAAAGAGATGAATAATAAAGCAAGGGGGTTTGAATTGTAACTCCCAACACCTATGTCCGGTAGCTTGCTTACCATATTGAATGACAAAACCCGGAGACTTTAACTTCAATGTTTACCTTGATAATGCTGCTCCTGCGTGGTATTTCTGATTTGCCATCCAATCCGACAGAGGTGTTGGCGCTTTCCCCGGTTTGGTTGCCAGGTGCGACGATGGACCCTGAACCGACCATATTTTCTGATATCCCACAATCTCCATTCAAGACGGACACTTCGCAATGCGTCTTCCCAGCTGCTTCGTCGCTGGGCACGGCCGTATCCTCAAGATTCAATGGAGGCAGGCAGCCGTCCTCCCCAAACTCCGCCATAGGCACTTCGAGCACACACACAGACACACAAGCTGCTGGGTAGCAAAGCCTTATGTTTCAGCTTTACACCAATTTCCTGCCTGGCCTATTGCCCTGTTTTAACATTTGCACGCGAGTCTTCTGCCATATCATCTCTCGGTGCACATATCTGTCAGGATCCTACAGACAGAGGGGCTTGCTCCGTGCACTGTGCTCTGTAAAGAGAAACCCCAGTGATTAGCATAATCAAGCAGCATGACATTAGTAACAGAAAATAGTAACAGCAATTCAGCGTTACGAAGGAGAAGCGTTCACATGTTGTGTTCACTGAAAGCGGATGTTAACTTGAATCAGTGAACGATGTCAATGTAAATGCAGCAGGATACAACGCATACAACCAATGTGCTTTACTATGTGTACGGGCTTTGTTGCATTTTTCTATAAGTTTACCGTGTGTAGCATACTTCAACCGTGTTCACTTCACAGACCGATCCATTGTTTTGCCTTAACCGTTGTAAACCCAGCCTCTTCAGTATGTCAGCAATCGGTAACGTTAAGTTAAATAATATTAAAAGCATGTTAAGTTATAGGTCAGTCCACTCTGCAACAAAACTCACGATTAGCCTATTGTAACACACGGGTATGTTTGTACTTGCCTTGTTTCTCCATGGGCAGGACGGTCTTCATAAGTTGTTGCTGCAACTGGGCAAACAGACAGACTGCCGATTGCTGTCTATGTGCGGAGCTAGGAAGCCTGGCTAGCTTGCTCGGTGAAGTTAGTTTTCCACGCCAAAATAAAAGTCCATTCAAAACAACCCTAGGTTGTTAGCCCGGTTCAGCTAACGAAGGAAGGAATGCCCTCCACCGCCAGTCAGTATCGACAGTTAAAAAGAAAAATGACACTTTGCATAATTCATTACATCTCTATAAACCGTCGCTCAGAGGAGTCGTCTACAAAGTTGTGTATGTCTCGTGAACGCGCAACAGTCAAAACAGGCTGTGTTGTCAATCAAACCTAATTATTATTTTTGCCTACAGACAAGAAACGCCCCTTTAATTTTTGAAGAACAAATCAACCCGGATACCGGGTTCAACATTTTGCCTCACAGACCTCATACGCGTTCATTGTGGTGTGTAATTATATTGATATACATTTTGATCGTATAGGGACAGGTGGCTTCAGCATATGAACCAATACCACAGCAGTGGTGTAAAGTAAGATAAAATAAGATAAGATGGTACTTTATTGATCCCAATTTGGGAAATGTTTGTGTTACAGCAGCATAAGAAGACAAGGCAATGTACAATACAATAACAATTCAAAGAAATAAGCAAGAAAGTAGAACATATACATGTTGAATTTAACAAGGTATTATATACAAATATATATATATACATAAATATATGACAGAAGGAATATTAATATTAAATATTGAACAGATTATAAATGTAAAATGTACAATGTGGTTTTATTCCAAGAGAAACTATGGAGCAGAGAGTTCTCTTCCAGCCAGAGGTGATTTATTGTAACTAAGTAGATTTACTCAAGTACTGTGCTTGAGTACAATTCTGATGTACTTGTACTTTACTTGAGTATTTACATGTGTTGCTACTTCTACCCCACTACAAATTAGAGTTAAGTCGTGTACTTTTACTTCACTACATGTAGCCTATTTAATACCTTTAGTTACTTTGCAGATTTGGATAAATTATGTGAAATACAAACACTTAAATAAGACTTTAATTAGACCTGGAGTAAAATTCTCTGCAGCATACTAATTAGGTAAAATTAGGTGCACCTTTACCAGCTTTGATAACCCTTGTAATGCATCAATAATTATAAACAAAACATACATCAAATGTTATTCTAAAATGGGCTAATTTGCACAATGAGTACTTGTAGTTTGGTACTTTCAGTATATTTTGATGCTAACACTTTTGTACTTCCTACACTCTAGTAGTTTTACTTTTACTTACCTACTTTTACTTAGTACTTCTTCCACATCTGCACATACACTTTCCTTGGGGTAATAGGTGTGTTTCTTTGTTAATATACATTGTGATCGTATAGGGACAGGTGGCTTTAGCATATGAACCAATTCCATAGCATTCACAGTTAAACATAGTTTGCAATGCGTGTTAGTGGGCATTTCAAATGCATAGCCTACTGTACATTAAAAGAGAGTATTTTCGTACAGCACACAACCTAAAAGAATAACTTCAAAACACAAAAGTCAACATTTGAATAGGCTACAAACAACACACAAGTCAACAAGAAAATCCAAAGAACAGAAACTTCAACAAGAAATGAGCCTAAAGACAACACAAAAGTCAACATGAATAGGATTAGACATAAAATAAACATAAAATAATCCAATAAGAAAAACATTTCAAAGCATAAAAGATGTTTATTTTTTAAACATTTCTGAATATGCTCAACTAAAAACGTACTGACACAAGTTATATACAACTGCTGAGTTACTTTCACTAGTAATTCCAGGAAACGTAGTGCTGTTAAAACTAAAAAGGCAGATCACAGAAAAAAAAGATGAAAGTGCTCTAAACAGAACAAGAATGAAAGTTACACTGAAAGCTTTCAATGGGTTAAAACGCAGACCTCTCTGGAACTAAATCCTGGGGGTAAACCAATATACCGACTAATTAAAGGCTTTATATATAACTTTACTTATTTTCTGCATTGTGTGACATGTACATCATCTCCTTTTCTTTATTATTAATAGTGTTGCTTTTTGATGTGCTTTATTCAGAGGCTTCTTATGACATCTCTCAAGGGCAGCCATTACCTCTTAGAACGGCTCACATGACTTTTTTGTCAGGTCACACCCTCACATTGTGTCAGGTCTTCCTCTTTATTGCATTGAGAGGATTAACCAACCTCGATGGTGGAGTAATATCCTTCTCTGAATAACTGCCTATTGTGCACATTAACCTATGTGACCAAGCTATAGTTATATAGCATCAAGCATCAATTCTTAAAGATGACTTTGAAGTATTAGCCACACATGATAGAACACATATCCTCGATGTAGTTCATATAGCCTTTACTATAGCCTCTTGTATAGGAGACACAGAGAGTGAGTGATGAGGCATAACATTGTTCTACATGATTTAATGCATGTTATTCATAGACCACTGGTTCAGATGAAGGCAGATACACTAAACACTAAGGGATACAAAAGCAGGATGAATGGGGACCTGTACAACAGAGCCATCTGCTGGTCTACAAGTGGTGGCGATTGTTCTGGTTATTGAAAAGTGCATAAGTTCCTAAAATGCTATGTACTGTATATCCTTTTTGGAAAAATCACTGCCAAAGTTGATATTTTTAGCAACAGTTTTGGCCTTTTCCCCCTTAAGCATTGTCTAATTTTGACACCTGTGAACATGTAAAAGTCATTGTTTTCTCAGGCCCCAAGAAGTTAACTTATGGACTACGTATGTTGTAAATGTATTATCTTTTCAATTTACACACAGCATCTATTGCACGTCTGTCCGTCCTGGGAGAGGGATCCCTCCTCAAGGTTTCTTCAATTTTTCCCCATTAACTGTGGGGTTTCTTTAGAAGTTCCTTCTTGTCCGATGTGACGGTCCAAGGACAGGTGTCTTATTGATATTCTGTATAAACTGTAAAGTCCACTGAGACACATGTAACATTTGTGATATTGGGCTATATAAATAAACATTGATTGATTGTTTGATTGAAATCCATAGAAAAAAATACAAATGTTGTTACACATTTTTTTTTTTTTTGTTGCTGTTCCTGCTTCTCCAGTCCTGTTGGCTATATCAACCCAACATATGTATCATTCAAAGTATTGAGGAGGAACCAAACCCCAAGCTTAGACCATAGATCTAGTGTCAGCCAGCCTAGATTTTATGAGACAAATAACATGAATTTATTTAACGTTGATATTTAAAGAAAATTACATTGCAGTCTTGACAAGACGAAAATGCTGTGAAAGTTGGAATACTGTGATGATAGTTACCTCACTTTCATTGCTGCATAATTGATGTGTATTATATCAGCATGTGTGAGAGTAACTGGATAAGAGTTGTTTTTGAATAAACTAAAGCCAATAGCACAGTTTATCAAAAACCCTTTATCATTTTAATTGTTGTAAAATTGAAATTCATCCAAGGGCGTGGAATAAACCATCTTGAAAATGTAAGATGGCATTAAAGGGAACATTTAGATATTTCAATCCATGTCTCTTGATTAAGAATCTCTTAGCTTTGGTCTCACTTATGATAATGTTCATAATGTACAGTAGTGGTGTGTGTAATTACGGCTCCGGAAATGTCTTTGCTGTAGTTTGAAAGTGCAAAATGTAGACTGCAACTTCTTAATATCATTAGATAAGGGAATGTCAGTCTACAAACTCATATCGACTAACTGTCAAATGTCTGTTGAGCTTCACTGAGCAACTTCACCATTAACCTGATGTTACTGTTGGCTGCTGCATAAGGCAATAAGCAACATACAGTAACCACAGCATTGGTTGCTTAACTAACATAATCCTTGTTAGAGCATTGCTGTAGTTCATATCAGCAGAAGTATTCTTTTCTTTGGCCATTTGGTGGCAGTGCAACAAGCTTTAACATTGAGTTATTGTCAGTTTATAAAGTTGACATGTTGATCCATCCTGATCCCAAATAATTGTCTATTTACACAATCAGCAGACAAGGAGAAGCATTAGCATCCACTGTCCATTGTGTGTCTTAGGCTCTTTGTACTGGCACTGTTGATGTAATTATAAACAAAATTGCCACTGGACGTTGTCACATGCCAACACAGTCTCACGGCATTTCGTGTTATAGTCACGAAATTAATCTATTGATTCGTGTTCTTTCGTGTCACACAGAACGATTTTAAAAGCAATGTAAATAATAACAAATTAGAAGGAAAAAGACATTTAAAAAAATACAGATTTAAGTATTCTGACACAGAACGATTTTAGAAGCAATGCATTTATATTGGTAGTATGTCTCGTGCCTGCACCAAATAATAACAAATTAGAAGGAAAAAAAGATGACAAAAAATACAGATTTCAGTATTCTGAGGCTCTGAGCCCCATTTCTTTTCCTCGCGGACAGCAAAAAAACTCCGACATTATACAATTTAAAATAAAAGGGATAGGGTTAGGCTTAGGGTAAGATATTGAGTAAGACATTTTTTTTATGAACTACACAGCTTCCGGTCTTCCAAGACCCGACCGGACAAAAAGACGTGGTGCAGGCACGAAACATACTACCAATAGAAATACATTGCTTTTAAAATCGTTCTGTGTGACACGAAAGAAATGCGAAAATCGTGTTGGTGAACACGAATCAATAGATTAAATTAATTTCGTGACTATAACACTAAATGCCGTGAGACTGGATATATAGAGAGAAGAATGACAGAAAGCAACTCAATCATTTATATGCTTCACTTTAATCAAACAGAACAAACAACAAACCTTGAATTTTAAAATAGCCTTTATTCTATGATTATGTGTATGATTCATATAGTTGATACATATTATCTTGAGCATGGGTGGATTATCAGTATAATTATATTTCTGCTTGAGCTGAAATGTTTGCACATTGTATCATTAATGCCAAAGTACCATATATGACAAACTTAAAGATTGTGGAGGTTAATTAAAATACAACAAAGGGAATATTTAAGAAAATTCTGATGAAGAATATCTAGAGGCTTATATTTTAAACCCCTACCAAAACATCAGTACTAACTATAGTTGTACTTGTGTCATTTATATATCATCGTAAGCTTAAATTGATTATACTGTAGGTCAAGTAGAATGCTTGGTAAAGCAAAGAATCAACACGGATGTAATTAGTCTGAACATTTTAGGTACTGCAGATTCACCAGCTGATCTTTAGGCTATTGGGATGATTTCAGTGGTGCAGTTGCATTCAGCTGGACACCAGGCTTTCACCAGCCCATTGGTGCATCCATCCTGG